ACCTGATTTTAAGGACATATTCCACTGTTTTTTTTACCATAAATATTCTACCTACATTCAAATAGAACGCAAATGACTTCAGTTGAGAATAGTTCTTTTTGGAAAAAAAGAAGGAATTATAAGACAATCCATGTTATGATTTCTTGAAATTTAACAAAGTCGTTTATTGTGTGTGTGTGTCTATTTAAACTGAAATAACTTTATATACACATTAGAAATGTTTATTGTTGTTAAGCAAAAACAATCTATAAGGTAACTCATCTTTGAAAATTGTTATGTTTAGTAAACCGACTGGAAATTAATGAGTTTACTACATGGAAACGTATTTTTTAAATAAAAACAAGCAAACAAATGAAATACTTTTTTATTTGATCTTTCTTTTATTATTATTTAGTATATTGTTTGTCGCTTTTGTAGGCTTCAATAAACTGAACCATATTTGTATAGTTGAAAGATTGTGTAATAAACACAAGAAGTAACTTGGTAAATAATGATGTTTTTGTTTTACAGTTATGACATACAAAGTGATTCATTCACTTTTTTTAATTATAATAATCAGAAATGGGATATAGGTACCTTACTAACAATTTATATTTACATTAAGAAACCTAAGGATAACATCAGTTACTATGGTTGAATAGAATCATATTTTGTGAATGTTTGTGACTGTAAATAGAGATGAATAAATGATGGCAATCATTTTAAATATTTTTCGTCAATTTTATATAAAGTTTCAGTAAATTGAGTTAACAATATTATTGTGATATCAGTTATTATGAGCATAACATTTCGCATTAACTTCATAGTAGTTTATAGGACTACTTTGTTGATTTCAAGAGATTGAATAGTTTTACAGTAATGATTTTATATGTATTTTGGGATTTTTTTAAACTTCTACAAACTGATTATAGTTGTTAGGTTCCCTGATGAGTTAAAGCTTGATATTAGGCGAAGAACAATTAAAAAATAAAAAATTTTCTATCAAATAGTAACCAGATCGTTAGAGATGTGTTTGACCGGGAAACTGTAACTTCTCACTAATTAAATAATTGTCATTATATCTTGCGAACAGATAGGATTTAGAATATTTAATCATGTTGAGTACAATAAAACTAAAAGTCTTCTTCAACGTCGGGTGAAATAGAGGTTATGCATTACTGAAAAGTTATATTACAGACAGAAGAAGTACTCCCTATAACTTGCTTCTGTTAAATTTTAATCCGATATACGTACATTATACAAAGTATGTTTTTGCAAATCTGCGTTCCTATCTTATGATTTAAAAAGCCCAAAACTTAACGTAAAGAAAACTGACCATACTACTCATTTATTAAACTGTGAGACTGTAAAATAATTTTCTTAATAACATTAACTCATTGAATTTTCTAATGCATATTTAAAGTAAACCATAAGATAACAAGACACTTACATAGAAGTGTTGAAGAGTTTCATAATCGATTATTCAAAAATTTATTTCCGAAGGCGTTTTTTTCACATTGTGAATTTGATTCTTGAAAAAGCGTTCTTTAAAATTTTATTTTGCATGTATTAATCCTTCTACATTCGCTTAACTCATGATTTATAAAATGCAAAAATGAAGATTAACTTGGTGTCTTTCTGAACTAAGGGGTTAAGTGGACAACGATAAACTGTTGGTTTAAGTCTCAGAATTGAAATCAGCATTGAGATACAGTTCATCTAGTTAATGAATCCTAAGCAGGATAAAACGCATCTTTCATTTCGCTGGTAGTCACCATCTAACATCTAAAAAACATTTATTACTTTTTTATTGTATTTTTACCTACTCACGAGTAGTCAAAAATAAGTCATAGATTTTACGAAGATTTGAAGGAAAAATGTCAATGAAATAAAATCATTAACAGAATGGAGGTTTTTTAGTTGAATTCATGAACAGATCTAAGCTAGACCATCTTTGAAAACCTAGAATTACTAGATGGTCGTTTCGTTCTTGTACGGAACTCCTCATCTGCGTTCACTAATGACTGGCTTCAGGATGGATCTGCTGGAGTTTTGGTGAGAAACTGTGACCAGCGGAGTCAAATCCGTGTTGAGTAGAGACAGTTATCTCCCTCAAACATTGGATGAATGGTTACGCAAGATCATGGATTGATTGAAGTTATACATTATTACCGTTGGATTCCAGCTCACTGGTCTAGAGCTTTAGTGTTCACACGCGAAACCGAAGTTCCTGAGCTCGACTCCAGCACGTAGGATTGTGGAAATAAAATTAGTTTTAGTCGTATTTACATGAAACGATACAAAATAAGATATTTTGGTTCTTAATGGTCGGCTATGTAACCGGTGCAGTTCACTTAACATACTTACTTCATAGTGAAACCAAACTTGATGAATAGGTGTCAACGACACAATTACAGAGGAAAAGAATATATCACGGTTCTTTAAGTTAGTTAGTGAATAAAATTGTAAATAAAAACAGCACTTGATCTGAGGCGATAAGACAGTATTATTGAAAATATGGATAGGGTTTTCAAATTTCAGCTTATTTCTAGGATATAATGAAGTTCTGTTAACATGATATGTAATATGAAGATAACAAATGTTGGGTATGGTTGACAAGGAAACTTAATGATTGATACTTTTTAGCAAGATATATCTGTGTTCAAGAAGGAATTGATAAATCTTGTGAGATTTTAATTTGCTTTATATAACTTCATAGTTTCAGACATCACCACTAAGCTACTCAGGCCATGACTGATCTTCTTTGAGACTGAAATGTTTACAGTTAGTTGATAATTGTTGTCTAGTCATTTAAGTGATAATCAAAATACTAGTATTGCAGCCAAAAGTTTAAATGGTATGAATTTGCATGTGCTATGTCTTGTATGAAGAATATACACAATTGAACTGGATGAGAAACAGCAATATTAATTAAAGGTAAAATGCACATAGTTTTAAGGTCATGTATCTTGTATGTATAACTCAACTGTTTAAAAACATATATAAAATCAAAGTAATGTACATTCAACTACAAGTTGATGCAAGAGTATAAATTAACTCATTTGATTCTAATGGTTTACTGAAATAATTCGAGTGTTTACACCAATCAATTTTAGATAAAAACGTTCACCTAGTTCAATCAAGCACGTTTCAAAATTGACTTAATAATTAATTCATGAATTGGTTTTCATTGATATTAATTAAGAAACATATTATCACCCCTGGATAGATTAACATGTATATCCTGGTTAAAAACATTGTTCAGTTTCATGAACATGAAAATAAATGTTAAGTTTGGTTCAAAGCGTAATCACTATTTGTCATGGATCTGAAAAGTGTTTTCAGGCATTAATGATTAATAGCACTAAACTCATGATGTTAAATTTATTGTAGACATTAGTATCATCGGTTGACAAGCTTCGAAAGTTACATTTAATTTTAACTAACTATCAACAATAACTCCGAAATGTGTCTTTTTCGAAGATTTTAAAGAAATTCATCTTAACTAGGCGATTATTTTCATTTTAAGCTGATATCATTTATAAACCAGATAGAACTAGAAAAAAGGTTTCTTTCTAGAATGGTGGAACTCTTTAAAATCATAATACTATCATTCTGACAGTCATGTACGCTAACACTGTGAGGTTGCTCTAATTCGAATATTCACAATTTAAATGTTCGCATTTCTGACTGCAATTAATTTATAAAACATAGTTTGATTATTACGGTTATATAATTATCCATACTGTCTTTCAAAGTTCTCGTCGCTGATATTAAATTATTAGGAAGAATGATTTTGAGTTTTATGAATGTTAGTGCAAAATGTGACGGTAGATAAAAGCTCCAGAATCTCCATGGTCATTTAATAAGAGAGTATAGTTAAATTATTGAATCACAAGATTTTACCGCAACTATGCGTATCTGTGAATTCAGCTACTCCTATAAAGAAAGCCATATCGTGTATGCAGCCAGACAGCTTAGCCAATGAGTATTCATAAGTAATTCGTAACATTCTTATCTCTTCCTTTTCTAAATAAAGCCTAGCTAAAGATTTTACTTATTATTATTATTATTCTGGATGTCTTTCGTTTGCTTATTTTCCTTCACCCTTTCTCTAAAATATTCTCCACTATCTAATAATTTCAACACTCCTTATTGTGTAATTTTAGTAATCTATAATGGATATTCTTAGTTTTTTGAACTACTTCCTAATTTGAAACACTGATTCAAGGCTTTATTATTAATATTTTTATCACAACAATTGTACTGTTGTCATCGTAACAGTTTTTTTTAATTTTTACTTATTAAGTTTATTGATATAATATATTTTATTGTTACCATTGTCTCTGGAAATGTCATGACGATAAGAATTTCGTTAAAAACAATATTGCTCATTCACTTGGTAATGTTTGTTTGAATCTTCTCAGTGATGTTTTGGACTGCAATTGATCAGTCTCTTATTGACACACGTACATACTGTGCGTATTGTCTTGATATAACCTTAAATTACAAGCATTATATGCAAAGATGGGTAGTGGATAGCAGTGGAATCCAGGACACGCTTTTCGTCCTATTTAGGACTCGTCACCTGGATGTACCTCAATCTCAGAGTTGTTGTTCACTCCGGGGACTCGAATTCATTAACGTTCGCTTCAAACGCTATTTCTTTATCCATTCAGCTACTGAGTCCTGACAGCCACTTGCTTGTACAATGGGGTGAGGTTTAAATCTTCCTATCGTTGTTTAAGACTGCGATTGATCAGTTTTTTTATTGACATATGTGTATACTCTACGTTTTGCCTCGATATCGACTTAATTCACAAGCTAAGTGGATAATGCGATGGCGTTTGAAGCAAACGGTACTGAGTTTGAATCTAAGAGTGAATATCAACTTTGAGATGCAGGTACATTCAACTGACGAGTAGCAAATAGAATGAAACGCGAGTCTTGAATTCAAATGTTTGTGTCGAACAAATATTAAAACAGTAATGAAGACAGAATGTTTCACCTACTGTTCATTTAACCAATGATGTTTTCACGATTTATTTTAATGCTTCATATATATAATAAAAGTATTTTTCAAAACTTTGTTTAAATAGTGTATTAAATTTACAAACATAAAGTAATTAATTTTAGTAATAAAATCGATTTCAATTAAACCGAAATCTTCTTTTACATCTGAAAATAAAAAAATTACAACAAAATTATTTTTTAAGTAAACAATTAGTAAGTGTTTTTTTATGATTGTGGTCATGGATGTTAGACCACCATTGAAAACCTAGAAGCGCTGGACGGCCGTTTCGTCCTACTGTAGGACTTCTCAGCAGTGCACATCCATGATTCCGCTCGCGGGATCCAATTGATTTATTGATAAGAGAAGAAGTTGTATGCTTTGTTTTCTATTGAAATGACTAAACATTAGTTAGATTAGGGATAAGCATTTTATTCAGATTCAAATACCTAATAGTTTATGGGGAAGGGGTTTGTTTATTATTTTAGATCAGATAGAAGCAGCTTAAGAATGATAACCTTCATTGCAGTCATTGGGACAAATGGAATCCAATAATAAGTATTTAAAGAGTGTGAGATTGTTATGTGAATTCTTGAAATCCGAAACTATCATTTCGGTTTTAATGAACTGAGATTAAACAATCAAAATTCTATGTCACATAGTTACTTGCAAAATTGAAAAGCAGTCACATATAATGTAAGACTAACAGATGAAACTGTGTAAGTATATTCTAATTCTACGGAATTGGACCTTTGAACAAGACGTTGGAATTACTGAAAATCTAATTATAAAGATTGTATGAAAGATAGTATGACAACCCAAATATTTAGCAGGCATAGATTATTCTATATGACTTCTAGCCACACTCTAAGCACTAAGGTTAGTGATTATCCAAACTGAAGTGGTAAAGAGAGGTTCAAACCTGTTATTTAGTGCTTGGAAATCAAACACTTTAACTACCAAGTCATCTCTTTTCTGTGTATTCAGTTCCCGACTTCATGTAGTGTTTATTTCACATATTTACAACTATTCATATAAAACATTTTATATGAGACCATTCAAATCTCAATTAAACGAAATATAGGATTTAAGCTTATTATTTATATTCTTGCTTCATAAAGTTCCATATTTGATGTATTCAATAAACGTCTAGTTTAAATTTGGTTGTTTTTCTATAATTTATCATTTATCATAGAAATATTACGAGAATGTTCGATACTAAAAATGTATCGCTTACATTTAAGTTGACCGTATCTATTTTCATAAACACATATGCATTGTCTGAAAACAACATGAAAATTTAAGAAAACAAAGCATAAATATACATTTGAGATTCATTGCAGTTAGTTAACATCGACGTCAACGATCACAAATCGACTGACATATATAATGAAGTCAGTAAATGTTATGTAATTAGTTTGATACTCTAAAGTTGTAAAAAAAAATACTACGTTGAAGTAAAGAAATGAAAGTCTGCATAATGCAAAGTTATTCACCCAACTGAGTATTTGTTTCGTTTTGCATGAATTTTTTTCAGTAAACTATCGTAGTGAACGGGGACGTAAACGGGACAACCAAATGTATTTGAACAAGGAGTTACAGAGTTATTTGTTTATATGTTCAATAATTCATTTGCAAAATGTTCATCAATTGTCTTAGACTTTGTTGTCCCTTCGTTTCCATACCAACCACTCTCTGTTTCCATACTGTTCTGTTCAATCTTTTCAACCTTCTACTGTCAGGCATTCCACTTTCGATTGATGTTAAATACTACTTATATCTGTCAACATAAGTAGCACACAACACACTGTCTGTACTGAATAGATTACTTGGTTCGGTTATCGCTTATGAGTAATAAATATCTATTGTAGTTACATTTCAATATGTTAAATTGTGAAGATCTAAAATTATCGTTTCGTCGTATCAGACAATTTCTGGATATCATTCTTTCTTCCTTAACATATACCTATTTATCCTACAGTTCTTTCGCAAAATACGTTCATAAAAATTTCAAACTAACCAGAGTGATTCTTATTATAGTAACATGTAATCAATAGATATTAGAATTTAATACAACCAGTATTTATATTTACTGACATTCTTTCATTAAATAAAACAAAAATATTTAATGCTAAAATATCATATTACCCTATTCACTACTAGTAATGATAGTGCTATAGCTGATAAGCGGCAATTATCACAATCCTACAGGGTTTAGTGACCTAATATCATGTTTATATGTTGGCAGTAGGTACTTATTCAAGCGGAATAGTACGAATATAATGATATATATATAATTAGCAATAAAATCATTTATGATGCCTCAGTGTTAGTTATATTTCGTTCATAAAAACTATCCATCTGTAGATATAAAAAACACTAACTACTCACAACGATTGAAATTCCTGTAAAAGTGTGTAAAGTAGTTTTTCATTCCTTTTAAACATGACTTTACTAAGATTTGTATTCAAGTAAAAAATGTTCAATGTTTTCATATTATTTCTTTTTAAAATAATAAATTACCATACAAGCCGAATCTGGATCCATGCTAGAGATTGTATCAATGTATTTGTCAATGAACATTCCTCCTAGAAATGAGCACTGAAATATAAGAAGAAAATACAGATAGTGAATATTTTATTATGCTATTTAATCAATAATGAAGCTTTTGCTTCAGACAATAAATAAGTATAGACAAGCCTAAACTTCCTAAGCTACACTAATAGAAAGACAATTAGATATTTGTGTTCATTTAATACTTTTATTCCTAAATAATATAAAATGGTGAAGTATTTAAATATTAAACAGCTTCACCTTAATCATACGTTGAATGTCAGTGAAATATTTGGAACTATGGAGATGTTTTTTGTTACTAAGTACTTTTTGTTTGTTTTACAATGTTTCATGTTTTCTTTCATCTTCGAATGAGCGATAAACTGATGTTTGGTAAAGTTTTATATTTGAAACCAATTTACTCTTCATGACTGCTAATTTAAACTTTAAATGAAAGTGACCATAAAAGCCAATCAGCAAAATGATCAGCTTAATTACAATAAGTAAAGTGATCAACTAGTCGAATTACAGATTTGATTTAAATTTGTTCTCAGTTAATAAAACGCAAAAAACTAAAATGTTTTCTTGTTTCATCTTTGGGTTATTAGAAATGTCAATTAATGGGATTTGAATATATTAGATGATATTATGATGTGGGCTACGTAAAAGCAATCTTTGTCTATGAACTTTTCTTATACTGCTGACAATTCAAAGATATATTTAACAGTATAGGGTTGTGGAGTTTGTTGAGTTTCAGTTGATATCATGAATCAATGAATGAATGTTAGACCACCAGGTTTTCAATGATGGTCTAACATTAATCCATTCATGATATACTAAACAGTTGGAATGATGGTCTTCTAATTTGCGAATCAGCATATGTTTTTCTGATTTTTACTTTATTTTATCTTCAAACTGAGTGTACTTACTAATTTTTGGTAAATGTTTGTAAACTATTGCAAGTTAAATCACTAAGTGGTCCTTAAAATACAACCACTGTGGTTAATATACTCTCTTTCCTAATTATTTCCGTGAAAAAGTATTGATGTTTTTTTTAGTTCATACATCAAATACTTTCTGTAATGAAAAGAGATGTCATGAGAATAAAGCAAATCATGAACATTTGTTAATGAATTTGAATGATGACTGGTTATAGTTTAGGACTTTTGAACATATTTCCTATGCATTTACAAGTTAGAAGATTATACAATGGGGATGTTTTTTTTACATTTTTGTAGTATATAATGTTCTTAGAACTATTTCATGCAATCAAACTCATGTTATTAAAGAGGACAAGTATTATCTTTTTTTTTTCAAAAAAGTCGCGTTGGGATTTCAAATAATAACAAGAGAGATATAAGTATATATTTTGAAAATTAAAGACAATTACTGAGTCAGGATCCAATGGTGTTCACTTATCACCTCAACCAATCCACGGGGTTAAGCGTTAATTTGCGAGACCGAAGATCCTAGTTTCGAATCACGTGACCAGGGCCGTGGGTACGCACTGCTGAGGAGTCTCATAATAAAATGAAACGGTCGTCCAGTGCTTCCAGGTTTTCCATTGTGATCTAACATCAATCGACACACAATCTCAATCAAAAACCTCATAACCTCCACAACCCCATACTGACAACAGACAACCTTCAATTGCATCGTATCCGAGTGTTAGCAGTTTCGTCAAATATCAAGCAATTTTTATTTAAATAAATGAATCAAAATAAGCACAAGAGAGTGTATGTCAATGAATTAAATAAATCATGTAATTGGTTAAACGGGAATTTTCAACATGTATACCTTACAATCAAACTAAATAAGTCAACCATGCACAACTGCTTAAAATAGATGTAACACAGATATGAAATCGATTTCGAAGTCATGGTATTCAAAGTTAGCCGAATGAGTACTCGATTTATTCTGTTATTAACCTAATAATTATTTCACATCATAGTGTAACATTGATTTTGTATAAAAATATCTGGAAGGAGCTGGAAAGGATTGCCCAGGACAAAGTTGGATGAAGAATGCTGGTGAGCGGCCTATGCTCCTTCACGAAGAGTAATAGGCGTAAGTAAGTTAGTTAGTAGGTAAAATATCTCTGAAAATAAATCTAACAGTCAATAATAAGTATTATATATACATGGATTGAATTTAAACAAATACAAATCAATTCACCTGAACTTGAAAAGATCCAGTTAGTGAACAAATTTTATCAAGAGCTTGATGTACAAGTGATTTTGCTTCTTCAGATTTACTGAAAGTTTTCAAATATGATACAGCCATTTCACATGTTGAGCACACTGAAATAAATATCAATATACATATATATTGTGATAATGAGTTACAGACATGATCATAATTTATCTGATGAACTAATAGCAGAGTTGAGATTGAGATATCGTTGTAAATTCGATTTTTGGAGGGGACTTGTTAAATGATCAATGTATACGAATTTCGCGAACTTTGAATGCAAAAACGATAGGTTCAACCTCTCATCCTTCTTTGGTCCTAATTCCCTATTGTAGTTTGTTTCGTTTTTTTTCATTTTTCCGTTTTTTATTTTTATTACTACTACTGGTTTCTTAAAGTAGTGTTTTGTAATTTTAAACAATAATCAGTTATTATTATAATCAGAGAGGAATTTTGTGGATATTATAGTAATTTTAATAGTTGAATTCATAAGTCAAGTGAAGCGCACTACTGAGGAGTCCTATGATAGAACGAAACGGCCGTCCAGTGCATCCAGGTTTTCCATGGTCGTCTAGCTTCAATCGGCTCATGAATCCAGCTGTTAAAGTTATTACTGCCTTTGAACAAGTTTTCTTGATTAATATTCAGTTTTTATTAATATAAATTTTATATTTGTTGTTTTTCTTCATATCTGTCGATTGGACATTTATCCGACTCATAAATTATTTCCATCCTTATATTCTTTCCGAACCCCTTGATTATTAGGTAACCTTATCTGATAATAAGAGTCTCGAATCAATTTATGATGCAAGCTTTTCCATCCTCCTATAGACAAATATTTTCTATATATCTATAAATACGAATGTACAGCCTAAGTAAGTGATTTTTCCGAAAAGAATAGAAAATTTTCTTCGTTGAATTCTTTTTGTTTTTATACGAATTTCAAAATAATATTAGATTACCAGTTATCCATGTTTTTGTTTTTCTACCTATTATTGTTATACAACGTTAATGAAATTCATTTTTTATGAACTTAATATGAAAATAAATGAAACATTCTAATTATGTTATTAATTGAAATCATGAATCGATTGATGTTAGACCACCATCAAAAACCTGAAAGCACTGAACGGCTGTTTCGTTCGATTGTGGGACTCCTCAGCAGTGTGCATCCATGATCCCACTCACGGGATTCAAACCCATGGCTTTCAGTCTGGCATGAGAACGCTTAACCTACTGGACCACTGAGCCGTCATTCAACGGTGTTAATGTCAACCAATCCACGAAATCGCGCAACCATCATCCATTGTACTGAGGTAGATACCTGTGTCTAGCTGCACTGGTCACATATAACATCAATCGGTACATGATCTCAATTAAAAAATTATTAATCTCCACAACCTCTATACTGATAAGTATGTTATATTGCTATCAACTTACAGAAGCTGGAATTACCATGTTGAGGTGTTTCCAATGTGGATTGACACCAATTCACCATCTAAAAAAGGTAAAAATTGATTACATTAACATTTTTCATTAAAGCACACAAAATAAGCATTAGGTTGTTCTATTAAACAATAAATCAATTTCAAAATATTTCACACAACTTACTGTTTTGAAACGATTGGATTCAACGAATTCAATGAAATCTTTTAGGAGTGTTTTTGTTTCACTAACCATTGAATGTTTGCACTTGAATAAAAACAAACAAATAAACACCATTAGAAAACGTAAATAAAATATTCAATATTTTGTGAAATGTTTTTAATATAATATATTATGTATAAATTAGTTATCACTACCAGTTATTCTCGAACTCCGCCTATCAACCAAATCTGTCAATCAATATCAAAGTCACAATCTTCAGTATGAACGTCAAGACAGTTCTACTGAATGGAGTTGAAAATTGGGCATCTATCACAACCATCATGAAAAATGTACAAGTATTTATAAACAATTATCTAAGAAAATTTTTTTTATGTCTGTTGACCAGACGCTATGAGCGACAGCCTACTGTGGGAGAGAACAGACCATCTTCTATCCGGAGAGGAAATAAGGAAAAGATATTGGAAGTGGATAGGACATACATTTCGGAGATCATCAAACTGAATCATGAGGCAAGCGCTAATTTGGAATCCTGAAAGGAAACGGAGAAGTGTAAGGCTAAACTACACACTACATCGAGGATAGGAAGCAGACATGAAAATGATGAATAACAACTGGAAAGAACTGGTAACGTTTGTCCAGGACAGAGATGGATGGAGAATACTGGTGATTGGCCTTCACTACTCTACGAGGAATAACGGGAATAATTAAGTAGTCAGTCATTCTGCATAACATGAACATTTATAAGAGAATTTTACTAAAACAGGTTTTTTTCACATTTGTAGATAAATATGTAACTAATATTGTAAGAAACTTCATTCAATAATCCATTAAATAATGAAACATTAGATTGTAAACTTATTAACTCTATTGTTTATTGTATAAACCAAACAAATGAGAACAACATTGACGCTTGTTAGGACCCGAGAAACATAATGAATAGTAACTTGGGATCCTTTTATGGACCAATACTAAACGTATATTTTTATCGTATAATTACTAAGTAACTAAACTATGCATATTCATATTCCTCTTATTATAAGCTTTATTTTGACCCATAAACTAGTGTTATACGTTTTACCATTCTTGAGTTATACCCAGTATATTAATTACTACCTCCCTCATCCACAGCCACATTTGGCTAATTCTTGTACAAATGTTGTTTCATATTTTGTTGGTACGTTGTGGTCTGTTTGATTGGTATATAAACTCAGTATGTTTGAAATATAATGATTCACATCGCAGAGTCTGGGACTTGTGTTCTGGACTTGACTGACTGGGCTAAGCAGGAAGCAGGGCAAATCAGGACTCTAGACTGCTCGCACGTATTTTACGCGTCCTTGGTACGATCGATAAGTCACTGCTCTCTAATTAAATGTTTGGTATGAATAGTTTTAATAACTGTTAGAGCACAATAATATGAATTTATTTTACTTTGTCATTTCTCTTTAGCTGCCTATAAGCGTATTGTATAATAATAGATAGTTGTCATTATTATTTCGCTACTATTCATTTTATCTGTTGTCATCTTCAATCGTATATATGTACGTGTGGTTTATTCATATATTTTTTTAAACACCTTTAATAGTGCTAACCATTATCATTCTATTATGTAATATTATGTTGTACAAACACATTTGTTCGTAAGAAAAAAGAACGAAGAAACCATGAAATCAAATCAACTCGTATCATTCTAATTCAGTTGTTGCTCTGATTATAGTGAAATTCATAAAACGAATTAATGGTGGGTAAATCATTAATTGATACTGCTGTTTGCAGTTATTTATCCATTAGAAACATAAATTTGAACAGTGACTAAAGTAAATATTGTTTCAGTAAGTATTACCTATTGTATTGCTTGTTTACGAACTAGTTTGAGACTTTGATTGAGATCATGAATCGATTGATGTTCAACCACCATTGAAAACCTGGAAGCGCTTGACGGCCTTTTCGTCCCATTGTGGGACCCCTCAGCAGTGCGCATCCGTGTCGGTTGAAGACAGGTACCTACACCATTACAATGGAATATGGTCACCCAATTTCGTGGATCGGTTGAGGTTAGACATTAGCATCATTAGGTTCCGGCCCAGTGGCCCAGTAGGTTAAACGTTCGCACGCGAGACTGAAGGCCATGGGTTTGAATCCCGTGAGTGGGATCATGGATGCACACTGCTGAGGAGTCCCACAATCGAACGAAACAGCTGTTCAGTGCTTCCAAGTTTTTGATGGTGGTCTAACATCAATCGATTCATGATCTCAATCGAAAACGTAATAATATCGTCAACCCCTATACTTATAGTTTGAGTTTTAATAAAATCAGTTACGAACTTGAATATTATTTGATTCATTCGATCTAGATTAATATAACTGCTGCTGGATTTAATTGATAAAAAATAGATGTTTAAAATTAAATCCAATTTTAAGGAAGAATGAATTCAAATTCTTGGGAAGTAATGAATATATATTTTATGATTGAGTTACATCACTTATAAATAACTAGAATTTTAATAAATATGAAAATAATTTAGCATAATTCATATCATAAACAATCTTCTATTAAACGAAGATGGATAATGGCTAGCAGTGGAATCCAGGACGCGCGTTCATCCCATTTGAGACTCGTCAGCTGGATAAACTTGCATCACAGAGTTGATGTTCACTCTGAAGCTTGAACCTAGTACCATTGGCTTCAAACGCCATCGCGTTATTCACTTAGCTACGGTGTCCTGATAGCCATCTGCTTGCGCAATGTGGTGAAGTTTAAATTCATTTGGTGTTGTTTTACCTGTATTTTCCACTGCTAACCATAATCTATCTTTGCTTAAAAAGCTTGTGGCTTAAGGCTATATCGAGGCGGTCGGTACAGGATGCACATATGCCAAAATGAGACTGATCAATTGCAGTCCTAAATAACAATGGGAAGATACAAGTAAAACAACACCAAGTGAATTGATACTTGTATCAAGTTAAAAGTCAAAATTCACTTGTTTGTCTACGATTTTGAGCAAGCAAAATTAAAAATATAATTTAAAACTGGTATATATTACTTGGTAAAACAGATTAGGTGCTGAATAGTCGGTATTAGAAAATGTAAAAGCTAAAAATATCATACTTTTGACACTATAGCAGCGAATTTATTTCAGTAAGTGAACAGAAAGAAGTAAGAAACTAAAGGTAAATAAAACGTGAATATAAGATTAAACTTTCTACATCCTCAAAACGAATATATCAGGGTGTTAAAAAAATAAACTTTTGGACACTAATTGTGCAATTTATGCATTCGGCCTAAAATGACATTTGACGTATTTCACAGACATCATGAACTAATCTAATATAAATCACAACCAAAAACTTAGAAGCACTGCACGGCCGTTTCATCTCAGTATGGGATTCCTCACAAGAGCTCAACCACAACTCCGAGTGTGGGGGTCGAACCCAGGACCTTCGATATCAGGCTCGAACAGTTAACCTCTAGGCCGTTGAGTTGGCACCCAATGATGTCAATGTTAATGGGTTCCATTCTTGAGTACGAGGTCGTGTTAGACATTAGCACTGTTAAATGCTGACTCTGTGGTTTAGAGGCTGACCGTACGCGCGCAATATCAGAGATTCCGTGTTCGATTCCTACACGCGAAGTTGCGGATGTCCTCTTCTTTGTAGTTCCATGCTAGAACGAAACGGCCATCTAGTACTTATAGGTCTTTGGTTGTGGTTTATCTTAGATTTGTTATAACAGGACAGGAGTAAAAGAATAAATTACGATAGAAATTACGTATGCACTAATATTATACGAATGTTCCTACTATATGACTATTAAGTAACTATATTATATGTATATGCATGTCCGTTTCATTATAAGGTTTTATTTGATCTGTTGGTTACTGTTATACGATTTACTGTTCTAAAGTTATTCCTAATCCATTATCCACAGTTTCTCACAATCATAGCCACTTTTGGCTTGAACTAGTCCAAATGTTATTTTCTATTTTATGGTGTGATGTGGTCTAATTTGTATGTATATAAACCCAGTTTGTCTGAAATATATACTTCGTGTCATGGAGGTCAAGATCGGCCTTCCGAACTTAACAGGTAGGTCTAGACGGAAAAAGGATCAACCGGAATTCTAGGTTGCTGGAAATGGTGTATGCTTCATTAATTTAGTCTTATAAGTAAGCGTATCAAGATTTGGCAATCGTATTTCACGATAATCGTGACATACCAAGATCAGTTCGTAACTTCAAGGAAATAAAACACTCTTGACAACCTTTTACCGATAACATTTATTCTGTTGTATCTACTGACATTACTCGGTTAACTAAGCTAAAGTAAATGAAATAACATTCAAACATGGGATTTATCGGTTGATAAACAAATTTTTTGATCAATATTCAACTGCACCAAAGCAGTGTACTTAATAAGAAAGATTATAAGTTGACTGTAGTTCGTGTACGGTTTTATGAGCATATTATAATGTCTTATAAATATTTAGATATATCTAACTAATAAGGGTAGGTAGTGGCTAGCAATGGAATTCAGGACGTGCGTTTCTCCCTATTTCGGACTCGTCAGCTGTATGTACCTGCATCTCAGAGTTGATGTTCACTCCGAGACTCGAACCCAGTAACATTCGCTCCAAACACCATCGCGTTATCCACTCAGCTACCGAGTCCTGATAACCACTTGCTTGTACAATGTGGTGAAGTTAAAATCACTTGATATTGTTTTGCTTGTATCTTTCTATTGAGTTTTAAGACTGAAATTGATCAGTCTGTTATTAGCATATGTGCAATATCGAGGCAATACACACTGTAAACCTTATTGTTCTCATTAATTTTAGCAACTGATTACAAGTATACCAATGTTTCTTCAATCGATAATAGAAAAAAATAAAATAAAATCATTGACATACCTGAAGTTTTTTATTCATATCATTCATATTTTCACATGTTATTGACAATATATATTCAATGATATTCCTGGTGAATCGCTCTTCTTTCATAATTTGTAGACTTTTCTCTTGTGCCAATTCCAATAGGTTGCATGCTATAAAGTTGTAGATATATATAAAACAGTTTTTTGTTTGTATAAAAGTTAAATACTTTAATGTTTCTAACTGAAATAATGGAAAATGTAGCTTTGTATTTGACTTCTATAGATTCAGTCATTATAAAGTATTTCATGTTCACTATTAGTGACAATTGTATATTATCAATGATAGTTTGTCAGTAACTTAAAAAAGTTCATTGATATTATGTAAATTCTGAAATATTACTTATTTTTAGTTTATTATAAACTGAAGTGAATTTTTTTCTCGTTAGCTTTGACGCTCAAGAATGAGTTGAGCAGCTTTCAGGTTAAAAAAACAAATATTCCAATCCTATATTAACCATACTATAGTTAGCGATTATCGTTGGACACATGTTTCTTCTTTTTAAAGGTTTTAGTTCCATAGAACTTTAAAAACAAAAGTGATGCCTATGGTGATTGATTAATTACACTGATGTTGAATAGGTCGGTGATTTCGATAACCTAGAACCCACGTACACTAAACCAACTAAATTGATATATAATGAGTGTGAATCACAGTTTGAATAATTCAGATGTAAATATATTCCACGCACAAGGAAATCACTGCCTTGGATTTCATATCACATCCTTAATTACAATATCTTAAAAACTTCAGTGACATTTCTAGGCTGCATAGAAATCAAATGAAAAATATGGTTTAACAGATGGCAGAAGTTTATATAACTCTATTCGATTAGAATAGTTTGTCAAACATTAACACCAAACTTGATATTATCTACGACAGTAAGTGCTCTTATTTAGTATTTTTACTTCAAATTTATTTCTATACTTCTACTACGACTGTTTATAATGAAATGATCGGTGTGTTTTTTGATGATAAACTATGAATTATGGATGACTTATAGAACTCCGTAATGCACATTCATCCAAATAGAAAAACATTAAAACGTTGTGCATTAAATCAAAATTTGGATAATTTTATGAAAGTTTGTTAGTATACTTGTTAATGTATATGCAAAATACTTCAGATCCGTTGGCCAGACACCATCAGCAACAATATACTATGGGAGAGAACAAATCAGATCCCAACGGAGGAAGAAATCAGGAAAAAGCGATAGAAGTGGATAAATCACACATTGAGGAAAGCACCGAGCTACATCACAAGGCAACCCCTCACATGGAATCCTCATGGCCAAAGGAGAAGGGAAAGATCAATGAACACATTACACCGAGAAATGTAGACAAACATGAGAAGAATTAACAACAATTGGATAGAAATAAAAAGGAATGCCCAGAATAGAGTGGGTTGGAGAATGCTGGTCGGAGGCCTGTGCTCCATTGAAAGTCACAGGCGTAAGTTAATAAGTAAGTTGTTAATATTTACTTTTCTATTATACCTACGAATATAGACTTTTATTAGTATAAAACATAGTGTGGTGAAATGTACTATCTTCGTCATTTTAGAAACTGTTCTCAAAAAATATTATTATGTGTAGCTTTCTAGTTACGTAATATAAGTTCATATAAGAATCTTCATAAAACGTCTTCACTTCCATCGAAGAAAATCACTATAGTTAAATATGGTATACAAATTTACATTTGATTTGCAGTTAATTAAAAAGTTCAATATAAACAAAAACGATAACAATAGTAATTCAACATTTAATTAACCAACTTACCTACATCTTTATAGCCAAAAGTCAACTAAATTGAATATATAAATAAAAAATAATAATATTCGAAGGGGTTTAGTAAATATTATAGCAATTTTAATAGTTGAAATCATGAGTCAGTTGAAGCTAGGCCACTATGGAAAACCTGAAAGCACTAGGGTTCGAATCCCACTGGGGGGGCGGGATCGTGGATGCGCACTGCTTAAGAGTTCCACTATAGGACGAAACGGCCGTCCAGTGTTTCCAGGTTTCCCTTGGTGGTCTAGCCTCAAGTGACTCATGATCTCAACCATTGAAAAAATATTCATTAACTATTTAGTGAAAAGGATCTTATAGAGTCATTGAGTAATTTCCAAAAAAAATTGCATATCGTATTACATTAGAATTGTTAATTCGGTTAACAATATAGATTATATAATTAAGTAGTCTTGAAATACTGGAACCCGGTAAATTTCTATTGAATAAAGTTATATGGTTTAATAATTACATTATTTTGTAATACAATTACAGAAGATGGTAATATAAAGAATATTTTATCGTTTATTTAATGAACTCATCGCCTTAATAGGATTATTTATTGTACCTACCTACAGTCAATGAATAGTATAACAAATTCATCGTTTTAAGATTTTTGTTGTTAAGAAAGATTAATTCAGCGAAGAGTTCTCTTTTCGGTGAATTCATTTTCAAAACTATGCAATCGCAAATGTATATATATATATAAACAGAATGTGGATGGAACTAGAAAAGAAGGCCCAGGACAGAGTGGGTTGGAGAATGCTGGTCGGCGGCCTATGCTCCATTAGGAGTAACAAGCGTAAGTAATTAACAGAATGATTATAACACTGATAATAAACTATTGTTGGACAAGTTGACAGTGAGGTTAAACAAACAAAGTAATCAAAAACATTCTTTTAAAAACAAGGAAAGTTTAATAATCGTTTTTAATTATTAATAGCTTAAGTATTGTTGATTAATTGGATTGAAATAATAATAAAGTCTGTCATTACCATTATTGATTTTGATATGATTATGTAAGTTATTATCAACATTATTAGTTTCACAAATTTAACTTTATACATTGAATAACATTACCTCAGATTGCTTAATTGAAGTAACTAAACCTAGAACAGATTATTATTATTATAAGTAGTATATACTTGGTTTACCTGTTGTAAAAATGGTTATTATGAAAAAACTAAGCATTCTTGTTTGTATTTGATTTCGAATAAATTTAAAGTAAGATTATTATAAGTGAATCACTTTAAATATTATTCTTATTTATTTTTTGGTTATATTTTATTAACGATCAAGTAGTTTAGATCATATTTTAAATTTATAAACTGGAACAAGGGTCATTTGAAGGGTACTTTACCTTCAATAATAACAGACTTTAAATATATATATATATATATATAATGATAATAATACTAAATTGGGCCTATGATTCTAAACAATCGTTTATTGTATACTAAATCAAACGAGTATGCTCATTTTACAAAGTGTAAAACTGTTTGATAATGAACGGTTGTTTTTTTTTCTAAGTGTTACTAACCTTTGAGATTGCAGATTCGATAGAAAAGAAAACAACAACAAAATATCATGTGAAGTGATGGTAATTAGTAATTAGTTTGTTTTTGTAAAAACAAGATTACTGAATAATGAAAAAATGTCTTTGAGTGTATTATTGAACAATGTGAAATATGTTAGCGATTAAGTTGTAAAGATAAAAGAGAATTGTTTAAAGATCGCCATCATATTAAAAAAACTAATAATTTGAACGATTGTCAACATCATCGGGAATTCATACGATGAATTAAAGTATAAAGTAGTGCATGGAGGACAGTTGACAGATGCATTCCAAGTAAAGAACGAAGTCAGAAAATTCTGCCTACTCTCTCCCTTCCTCTTCTTCTTTCTTCTAGTGGTCGACTGCCTTATGAAGATCTCCACATCTGAAGGGAAACATGGAATACAAAGGACAGCTCAGAACGAATCAGAAAATTTGGACTTCTCAGATGAACTGAGCTTTTTATCCTATACACACGAACAGATGCATATGAAGACAATTATTGAAGTAGAAGCCTCCGCATCAGTAGGTTTCAACATACACAAAGAAAAAAGCAATATCATCAAATACAACATGGAGAACACCAAACCAATCACATTTGATGAAGAAACTCTGGAAGAGATGTAATCTTTCACGTACCTGAACGGCAGCATCGATGAGCAAGAAGGATCTGATGCAGTCGTAAGGGTGAGGATTACCAAAGCAAGGACAGCATTCCTACAATCAAAAGACATATGGAGCTCAAATTAACTGTTAACCAATATCAAAGTCACAATCTTCAATACGAACGTCAACACAGTTCTACTGTATGAAGCTGAAATATGGCGAGCTACCGCAACAATCATCAAGCAAGTACAAGTATTTATAAACAAGATACTGAATGTCGCTTGATCACATACCATAAACAACATTTTACTGTGAGAGACACCAAACTACCTTCCGTCTGAAAAGGAAATCAATAAAAGACGTTGGAAGTGGATAGGACATATATTACAAAAATCATCAACCTGCATCATGATGCAAGCCCTAACTTAAAATCCTGAAGGGAAATGGAGAAGAGGAAGGCCAAAGAACATACTGTATGGAGAATTGGAAGCAGACGTGAAAATGACGAATAGCAACTGTAAATAACTTGGAAGGATTGTTCAGGACAGAGTTGGATGTAGTGGGCGGTCTATGCTTCTTCACGAGGGGTAAGAGGCGTAAGCAAGTAGTAATGAAGAATATTCTCTTTGATAAATTCTCTTCAGGTTCTACGATTATCCATCCAAATTAATAATTCGAAAAATGTCCAAATTTAGAGCAAGGTGTATCGTTTAAAGTTACAGCATGTGAGTTTAAGATTATCCATCAAAAAATATCTTCAATCGCTTCTTCTCTCCTGACTAACCTCAAGGCGAATTAACTAATAGTAATCTTAGCTATTGAATGGCTTAATTTGACTATCGTAATTATAACCTTTCGTAGACAAATGTAATTGTCTCTGTTATCTTTATTCATGGTTATTGATCTCCCCAATACATAATTCATTTACATTGCATTCATCCCACCTTACTATCTCTTATTAATTTTCACACATAATCTTCCACTATTGTAATTGCACTATTAATATTAACAGTCTATATGAATCATGTCAACATTAACAATTTTATTCTATTTCATTTAACAATCATAATTTAAACGATGCGCATTACCCTTAACCTGACCATTTTTGGATGTTTAATTGTAGAACCTGAAAAGAATTTATCAAAAACAATATTCTTCATTGATATATTTATCATTTAAAAATGAAGTTTAGTTTTAGAATTTAACAAAAATATGTTTAGTGTCATCATATACTAAAGAGAAAGAATGTATTTGTAAAATTTAAGTGAATGAATTTGAAGTAAACCTAATTTATTCGTCTGTCAATCTGGTCCAAGCTGAGATTTTACAAAATAAATTCTTTATCATTAATGTTTCACATTAACTTGGAGACCAAATGCAATAAAACTATTCAATCACGAAGAAGAGAAATTGTTTTATTTAACTGAAAGCGAATGAATGACATTATCTGTTCATTCTTTTTCTAAATATTGATCTGACTATGTCAATTTCTGTTATATACAAAGATCTTCAGTAAGAGTTGATTGTACTTATTATGCTAACCATTAGAATAATATCTTAGTATCTGAGAATGCAATTACATCAGAGGAACTAACACTGTGGTGTGTGGTACTGATGTCGACAGATACAAGTATTATGTATCATCAATCGAAATTAAAATGTCTGATGGCAGGAGGTTAAGAAGATCAAAGAAAAAAAAACGAGAACAAAGAATGATTGGTGTGAAAACAAAAGAACAATGAAGACGGAGACGATTGTTTGAAATTTCGTAGAAGGAACTTTGAGACAATTGATTGACATCTTGAGCATTAAGTATTTATTGCATGGTTCTCAGATTTTACCAAGAAGTACATTAGATTGTCACCAGTTGTGTTTTCGTTCATGAGAACACTAATCCAGTCTACTTTCAACGTTACTTTAGAAATAATAATAAGTGCTATTGATTGTAAGTTATTTGGACATCAAACCATAATTGTAAATTACATGTTATCAGTCCTCCTTTAATAGGTTTATCTTAGCCTACGCGAATATTTATGCTAAAAACAAATATTTTTGGTCCAATATAAACTAAGCTGACAGCCACATGTTCAAAGCTTTCTAGTTTGCAATGAATACGTCTTTAAATTCTTTGATGTACGTGACCAAAAAGCTTCTAGAAAAGTCACATACTTAGCATCATTTTGTTATTTGCTTAGTTTGGTATGAACAGTTGACAACAACATTATTTCTACATCTGGATTACTTAAATTTCAAAATCCCTTTTTCATGGTACAATCAGTACACATATAGGATTAAGCTTCAATTCCGAACAGAGGAATTGATGCGAGGTAATACTGTTTATGTAAATGCTGACTGATATACTCACTGGATAAGATTAAAAGCATAAGCGAACTTAATTCGATTACAGAGGAAAGCTGTGTTAGACTAACTGTGAGAGCTGCTTAGACTTCTTAACAATGTCAAGCCTCTAAACGCAGTGCCTAATGAAAAAGTTAACAAAAAGGGAAATGTTAGTTGAAACTGAACGATGGAATAGTCTAGTGATTATTAATTAACACTTTATTTAGGTGCGAGCTTATGAAAGACTACATATGAAATTAACAACAAACCAATCAAACATAGATTTAATCTTGACTATCACTTTAAAATGTTTAATTGAAGGTGTGACCATAAAACTTATGAGAAGCTAATGAAAGATAACTCCTCGTTTATATATGTGTCTTCGATTTAATGTACATTTGTAAACAAGCACGTTGATGTTCGACTTCAACTAATTCAAAGCCTACAAGTGAACTGGTGTTCAGTGAGTGATTCCACAAATATTTAATGATGAAGGATTTGTACATGGAGCAGTCCACCAGCTGTACATAATTTCATCTAAATGATTTAAATGTATTATTCCAGTTTGTTCAAAACTGAAACTCATTGATTTGTAGCTAAACAATTATTGTTCTGATTAATATAATCTCTTATGTCTTGGCTTCTTCAGTAATCCCTCAAAGGTTTTCTCCACACTAGCATAAACGCATGGATAAATGAATCATCTAATTTAAAAATGTTCCAAGGGAAACAAATTATCAAACAAGCTCATCACTGTACACTGAATGGTAAATCAGATGCATCATAGTAAAGATTACTATAGTAAACCTTGGCTTCCATAGTACTGGACATAATTATATTTGGTAAGTTGTTTTTTGTGGTGTAAGTACTAGATAACACTTATTTGTAGCGAGAGAGACTAGGAAAACTTGATTATTTGAAATTTGTGAGTGAGAACTATGTTTGACCGTAATCACATCACACATATTCATCTATGTCGGACGACTATTTGTTTCACTGAATAGTGCAGTAGGTTAGAATAAAACGATGTTGGTTGATGAAAGTTTAGGAACATTTTATAAGTTTTTCAATATCTATCTCAGGTTATTTAGCGAAGGGCTTAGTTCTAGACATAGATACTTTACACAACATACATTAATTATTACTTTTCCTAGTTTTAGACACATCTATTAAATACCTTATTTAAGGTATTATTTCCCTTTGTATTAATAATTTAGAAATATTACCATTGCTTTTCGCTTCTTATTTATATTATTTTCAGTAATTTACTCCATACATTATCGGTCCTCTTTATCGTGATATTCAAAATTATGACAGGATAGACCAATCTTCCAGTGAATTATAGTTAAAATGCAAATGTAACAATGTCTTACTTTATAACATTTTAGTAGTAATGATTGAATGATTAAAAATTTGAATGTTAATTAGGTAAATGATCAGCTTCTATTAGCTTTCATTGTAATTTCTATAAACGTAACTGAGTAACTGCTTATTGAATCTGAGTACTTTTTTGTAGTAAACGACAGAACACAGATTTCTTCAAAAATCTTATTTATATTATAAGACAAATTTTCTAGTTAAGTAACGACTGATTCTGTGGTCCAAAATAATAAAAGCTTAGTCTACATTTCGTGAAGAACATCAATATTAGAGTAAACGCTAAGCAGTATTCAGGCAACATGACAAGATAAATTGTAAGGGGAGTATTATGGAAACTGTTAAAGTTTTATAATTTCTATTACAAACTGACTTCGATAACCATGTCTAGCATGAGACTATAACTCACCATAGACAACTGAAGGCGATCATGCGATATCAGGAATTAAATGACGTTCGACATATACATCATCATTTCTAGATTTAATGATCTAACGGTTAGCCACTTTCTGCTATGCCTAAATTTTGTAGGTTTGATCCATGTTAAGCTAGTGGATGTCCACTGATGAGAACGAAACAGAATTTAAAGGGTTCCTACTCTCCATAGGTTGACTAACTAATATCAGTTCTTGATATATACCATAAAACAAACAGACTGAACTTTGTTTCCACTTTAGTCACTCTCTGTTTTCATTCTCTTCTCTTCGATCATCTTAACATTCTACTGCCAGGTATTTCACTTTCGATGAGTGATACATACTACTTATATCTGTTGGTAGCACACACCACAGTAGATGGTGAGTTATAATAATAATAACTGAAGTTTAAAAATCATATAAACAAAAACGCTTCATAATCATTAGAAATAAATTGACAATAGACACTTATTGAATATGGTGATAAATATTTATCCACTAATGTTTTTTTAAAAGACTTTATAAAATCAAATGTTTTCAATTTGTGTAAAACGTTCTCAATGCATCCGCCGCGCATATCACCTACAGAAATTGACTTGCTAGAAAATGGAAAGAAATATTCAAATGAAAGGTTAAATAAGAATTAAATATTTAGTTTTGTTTTTGTGAATATCACTTTCTAGAAACTAAAGTATAATTTTAGGTAACGTTTAAAAAGATATCAACCTAATAAGTATACTGTAGTTTCCACCACAAGCTTACTCCTTCTACGAAACAACTGAAAACCAAGGTACACTACTAAAGTGTTTTTCTCAAGGTTGAAACAGCCTAAAAATGCACACCGACGAAGTACTCTGACACTCAGTAGTCGATAAATGTCTCAGTTATCAAGATGACTGAATGGTACATGTTCTACTCCACATGGGTCATCAGTGTTCACCATTAAATAATCTCTAACTAGAGCGAAATGGTTGTTCAGTGATTCCAATTCTTACTTGTTCTCTAGGTTATCATAATATATTTTGAAAAATATTTCAAAACCAAATGAATTTTTTAACATAACACTCAAATAACGTGGACCTTCATTTAAGTTATGTTAAGCAGTATGTTATGTGTTACAAGTAGTATTGAAAATACTGATAGTGGGAATTATATGTGAAAGTACCTAACACAAACCTATAACTTGACTCATTGGACCCTGCTAACACTAAAGCAGTAAGTGTCTCTAGTAGAGTTTCATTCTCTGAATTTGAAATTAGAATAAAACTTTAAAGAACCTTTTACGATTTCTTGCGTGATTACCGAGTCATTTTCATATATTAGATGAAAACAATGTGTTATTGTGGAGGTAAAAGATCTTCAACACTGAAAAGATTTACAGCTCAGATCCCTTCTTTTTTTTACCATTGTGTTTTGAGTGCTCATCGAACAGTCCTATTATTCTATCGGATTCATTGGTGTTCACTAATGCAAACGTTAAGTCAATACATGTATTACTTTTAGCAAGACATGTTTTTCTTTGGTTATTAACAACTGTTTTTTTTGTGATAGATAAAGATAGATGCATGATGATTTGATGTAGCTTTTACATTTAACCTACTGACCTAATGTTAAGTGTTATATATTTTATTTCATTCACTCATAATAATCTATTTAAAATGTTGACTTATTTCGGTTCCATAAAGCAACTGTTGTATTGATTTACCGCTGTGCATTTTTCAGGAAATTCAATGATGAAACGTTGTTACATCACAACCAGTGTACAACTTTCCCAAATATGTAGCCTTATAATTTTCTAATAACGTTCAATCCAAAATCTTATTCAGTTATCTTTATTGATTAAATAATCAAATTTGTATGTATATACGAACTGAAATTGTTCAATCATCATCATCATCATCATCATCATCATCATCATCATCATCATCATCATCAGAAAATACCATACCTACCATACAAGTATCCAATGCTTCAGTTCTATTGAATATGATAACGTAAGAATCAACTATTTGTGAAGCCACATCATAACACTAAGAATGAAAACAATGAATGAAACAGTATCACATAGAATGATAAAAACTTTGTATTAGTTTCTATTTATAGTTTAAAAATGAGTATTTTATTTCATCTGGCCACAGTTGGTGTTTCTAAGCAAACAGATCTGTTATGTAAGAATTAATTGTAATCAAGGATAAAGTTTTATTTTTGTTTTGGTGTAAAATATATACATTAACAAATGTTGCCATGAAAGTTTCAATGTACTGAACTTACATCATATTAAACGAAAGTCTTTAATTATTGAATAAAATGTTTCTCGTTTTATACAGAAAAATCATATTACTCATAGATAATGCAGTAATTGAATTAGCTTCAATGAAGCATTTGAAATCATTTGAATGATTAGAATGAACCAGAAAATTACATCTAATTTACATATAATGAGGAATAAAAGTAGGCAGTAAGGGAAACTGCATTTTTGAAAAAAGTTGATTAAGTGATTTTTATCAAGATTAACTATTATTATTATTTCTTTAGACTGGGAGTTGATCATTTACGGATATATTGTCAAGTGTTTGAATGCAGCATTGAAGTTCAGCTCACTAGAAGAGTACTAGTTTAGTTAAGCATTAGGATAAACTTTGTTGATACTGAACATTAAATGATCTAGATCTATAGCGAATTTATCAGGTATCAAGTGAAATTACTTGACTCGTTAGGTAAATATTGTATTTGAATATATTTATTCTCACTTTCAAATACTTTATTAATTTCTTGAACGTTTGGTTCACAGAAATGTCCAAAACACTAGTCATGCCATTTAAACAGTTCAGTGTTTAATAATTAATAAAAAATGGTAGACATTTATGATACTAGATTTAAGTAAACGTCAGATTATTAGTTGGTAGTTAAAATAACTGTGTGCATTCTATCAAGCATGATATAAAATGATAGTTGAATCATTAACTTTTAACTGTAAGGTGCCTGATAACATGATAAAATGTTTTTAAAAAAAACTCGTTAGACTTTTGTGAAAATAAAATTTTGAACTCTTATTATAATGAAACATCATATTGATATTATCAATGAATAAATATTAGATCACGATTGAAAACATGAGGTCACTCGACGGCCGTATCGTCCTAGTATGAGACTGCTCAGCAGTGAACAACCACAATCCCATACGTCAGGCAGTTACTCACTGAAGATAATGGTGGACGGTCGCGTTTGAATTTAGATATTTACACCGTTGGATTCAGGTTCAGTGGTCTAGAGATTGGGTGTTTTCGAGCAAGACCAGGTCTGGGTTCGGGTCTTGAGTGCGTGGTCGTAAATGATCACTGGTGAGCAGTCGTATACTGGGACGAAACAGCCGTCCAGTGCCTCCAAGTTTACAACGGTGTTCTAACATTGATCCATTCATTATATCAATCTAAATTCAACAATCTGAACAATCCATATACTGTTAAGTATCATGCATGTCTAACCATACAGCTAATTAAAAATCAAATGCTTTTTGAGCTGGATTTGTTCTTTACTTAAACGATCTTTAAATTGCCCGACAAGCAATGAATTTTCGAATATCAAAATGAATAAACTATACATTTCTTGAGACTTTTATATCAAACGGTAGATTTTGCAGTGTATTAATTTCAGTGTCTAACCACTGTATAAGCGTTTTAATACGATTAAGTATTACTGTGAGTTCTTCTATTTAGGCAGTGTAATTTACGAACGGATTCAATTTACTTTTGCTCATAATTTAAAATTACTGTAAAAATATTTTTATTTTATTTTAAAGTAGCTGTACATCTATGATTCTTTACTAATATTGTATTGAGCACAACACGGGTGAGGACAATCGAACGTATTTAACACAAATTACAGGACTTTTTCATAAAATCTAACAATCATAAAGTAAATGCCTAATTTGCAAAATGTTCACCAATTGTCTCAAAATGACTGAGACTTCATTGTTCTTGCACTTTCATACAAATTTCATCCTGTTTTCATTCTTTACTGTTCGATCCTCTTGTCTCTCTGCTGCCAGACCTTCTGTTTACTACTAAAATCATATACTACTTATGTCAACATAAGTAGCGCACACCGCAATATTTGTAGAACTTTCGCGGTCAATGACATTTTTGTTATTAAACACGATGACATAATAAATAGTAGTCATGGTCATTATTTTGTCATGTGTATATAAGTATAAACTAACAGACGAGTTAATTCAAAATGTTAGTAAATTAATATAATACGATCGTTGAAATCATGAATTGATTGAAGCTAGACCAACGTGGAAAACCTGGAAGCGTTCGACGGCTGTATCGTTCTAGTATGAGACTCTTTCACACTGCACATCCACGATTCCTCCACTCGAGATTCTAACCCAGGACTTTTGGTTTTACGCGTAAACGCCTAATCTAAAGACCACTGAGACCATCATTCAACAGTTTTAATATCTAACTTTAATCAACCATAAAATTTAAATGATATTAAGTGATATGACAAAACAAAATATTTATTAAATCTTACCTCTACTGTATGATCTTCAACTATAGAGCACATTTCATGAATAATTAAATGAATCATTTGAAATGTTGAAAGTTTTGTCATCATTTTTCTAATTGCATTAACTATCATTTTACAAAAGGAACATTTTATTGTAGATTGATTATTTCGAAGGTGTATTAATGTATAATCTGCACTTGATATATTTTGTATAGTTTCTATTCTATATTGTTTATTTATTAACTATTATATAGAAGAATTAATGAATTAAAATTATTTACCTGACTACCATTTATTGTTGCATGGATTAAAACTAATAGAATTCAGTTATATTAATATAATAGAGACAATTACTTGTAATTAATAGAACGATAATATATTTATTCATTTGTATTCATTCATTCATAATTCTAATTATAATCGTTTAAGGTATCAAATAAATTAGAATAGTTTCAAAGTCCAATAAATAATTTCAATTGTTAGTTGAAAAGATAGATGACTACGTAATAATAAATTACTTTTTCAGATGAAGGATATAAAATACATTTCATTTTGAAGTGAACGTCAACTCTGGGATGCTGATGAGTTCTAATTATTTACTTATACTTGTTACTCCTCGTGAAGGAGCATTGACCGCTCATCAGTAATCTCCATCTAATCCCTGTCATGGGCAATCCATTCCATTTTTAATTCATCCTTTTTATATCTAATTCTATTTTCTGACGTAATGTGTTCTTTGATCTTCCACTTTTCTGCTTCCTTTCAGGATTCCAAGTTAGGGCTTGACTCCTGATATAGGTCGGTGTTTTGCGTAATGTATGTCCCATCTATTTCTATCATCGTTTCCTAATTTTCTCTTCAGCTGGAAGCTGGTTTGTTCGCTCTCGCAGTAGACTGCTGCTGATGTCATCCGCTTAACGGATGTTGAGTACCTTGCGTAGACAACTATTTATAAATACTTGAACCTTCCTGATGATGGTTGTGGTAGTTCTCCACATTTCAGCTCCATACAGTAGAACTGTCTTGACGTTCGTATTGAAGATTCTGACTTTGATATTGGTTGATAGACAGTTGTTTTGAGTTTCATATGCTCATCAATTGTAGAAATATGGCCGTTGCTTCAACAATTCTCGCCTTTACGTCTGCATCCGATTCTCCTTATTCACCAATCATGCTGTCCAGGTATGTGGAAGAGTCCACCTCTTGCAAAGATTCTCAATCAAGTGAAATTAGGTCGGTATTCTTTGTGGTATTTGATGATCTTGATTTTTTATTTGTGTATGTTGAGACCTACTGATGTAGAGGCTTCTGCTTCACTAGTTGTCTTCATATGGATTTGTTCGCGTGTATGGGATAGAAGGACCAGGTTATTTGAGAAGTCCAAATCTTCTGATCCAATCCGAGCTGTTCATTGTATTCCATGTTTCCGTTCAGATGTGGAGACCTTCATAATGCAGTCGACCACTAGAAGAAGGAAGAAGAGGAGGGGAGAGAGTAGGCAGAATTTTCTGACTCCGTTTCTTACTTGGAATGCATCTGTCAACTGTCCTCCATGCACGACTTTGCACTGTAGTCGATTGATTGATTGATTGATTGACGAGTCTTAAATAGTACGAAAAGTTTGTCCTAGATTCCGCCGCTAACCACCATTTAACTTTGCTTATCATGCTTGTGAATTAAGTCAATATCAAGACAATTGGTACAAGATGCACACATGCTAATAAGAGACTGGTCAATTACAATCCTAAATAACAATGGGAAGATACATGCAAATAACATTAAATGAAATCAAAAGCGTAGTTTTAATAAGTTATCAATAACAGAATATTTAAATTAAATGAAAGCATTCAGACTCTAATTCTACAGCAGAGATTTTCAAATATGTATCACTTACTTCAGAATCAGTAAACGGTAATTCTCATTAAGAAGCCGTCATAATAAAATCATTGAAATTGATGTTAATTTATTTCGAAGCATCAGTCATATCGATTTATTCTAAGATTTCCCTTCACCATTTTTTATAGTTTTAAGGCTACAGTTTGTATATTCGATGATTTTCTATTCCTAATAATTATTTTCTAGTTTAAATTCATTTTGTATTGTTTGTTTTAATCTTGCCATTCGTGTTTAGGACTGCATCCTGTTCATCCTGTGTGAACTGCATCGATATTGCCCTAAATCACAAGCATTACAAGCAAAGATGGATGGTGGCCAGCAATGTAATCCTCAAGCTAGTTAAAAGGATAACGTGATTGGGTTTGAAGCGAACGGTACTGGGTTCGTATCTCAGAATGAACATCAACTCTGAGATGCAGGTATGTCTGGCTGACGAGTCAAAATAGGACGAAACACACGTCCTGGATTACACTGCTAGTCACCATTCATCTTTGCTCATAATGTTTTCTAGATTGATTTAAATCTTTGTATTAATAATTCTACACAAATTATTATTATTAGTGGCTTTACTTAGTATTTTATTTTTAGTACAATATAGAATAATCAACACAAAGTATTTCAACAAGTTTCTTTATTGTTCCTTGATCAATCTTTAAGATAAATATTGAGTGGTTGCCAGTTAGATGTTAGCAATTCAGGAATCGAAATCTGAAGAATGTTTATTCTTTTCATTGGATATTGCCAGCAATCACAATGTCTCTGATCGTGCTCCTGCCCAACTTGTACAGCGAAAGGCCATGAACTTTTCACAAACGCACCTGAATAGTTTATGCTACTAACAAGCATAATGATGTGTTAAAACAAATAAGAAAACAGATGGCTTGTTGCAATATCCAGAATGCAGGAACTGGTAGCCCCGATATTCGAGCAGGCTGCCTTAAAGTCTTTCAAAATAGTCTTTTGTTAGGTTGAATGGTAAATACATTATTAAACTTCAGTGTTGAATTGATTTATTATATTGTACATATTTAAGTAAATGATATATGACAAAAGATTCATAAAAGTCTCTTAACGGTTTAGTTTGAACAAAACGTCAAGTATCCATGTTGCAGTACAAAGATTTTGGTATTGGTTTTATGCGTCGAATGTGTTAATTGATCATAATATAATACGGATAATAATAATCACCTATCATATCAGGCAAATTTACTGTATTTGAAGCTTTTATTAATATTTCATGTTTAGAGTCTTTAGAAGAAAATGAATACAGCTTACATATGTATTCCGTTACTAAGAATGTATTCTAGGGGTATGAGTAGTTTATTTGTAACTTTTCATATCGTAACACTTGTTGATATTAGTTAGAAATTAATATGTGATGAAAATTAAATCAAGATTGCAGATACAACTTGATAGGGAACCTTTGGCAGCAAAAAACCTAGTTTCAGGCCATCATACCAATTTCTTTCTATTGAGTAATACCATAATATTTTATGTATAATTGACAAACAGTAAGAATAGTACATTCGTTGTAAAAAAAACGCTGAAGAGTGTATTGTTCAGTAAAATTCCAACTTACATAATACAAATAGGGATTTAGTGATGAGTTTGGAATTCTAACTTTCATTTTACCTCTCAATACCGCCTTCAACTGATTGGACAATGTTTAACTTTATTCAGTGTTTCTATTATGAACTCTGCGAATGTATCTTAATGTAATAATGAATTCTATGGAAAGGCTTAGGTTTATGCTTATATTCTTCGATTTGTAGTCAACTTATGTCAAACATTAAAAGAGTTTAGACTTCCTCAACGTGAGTAAACAATGTTTTTATGAGTAATTTGGTTATATTTATCGCGAATCACTTTTTTTCAGATTAGAAAGTGAAACCATATTTAATAATAAAGTCAAATGTGAGCACAAAATCTTAAAATCAATAAATCGTCTGCTCAAAATGATTTATTTAAATTTATTTAAGTTGCTGAGTTGATTTTTGAAAATCATCTAATATATTGAAACTAAATTAGAACACTTCATTTAAGTGTATTACTTGTATGAAACACATGAAAAATATTGTTATTGAGATATAAATCTGAATTACGAAATCTCTACTAAAGACAAACTAGTTTTCGAAAAATGTCTGTCTACACAACTTTATGTGGTAATAGTGATACAAATAAAAAGGATGCAAGATCATATTGACGAAGCTATAATAATAATAATAATAAGGAGAAGAAGAAGAAGAAGATAAAGCTTCAAAATAACCTTAAACACTAAGTATAAGAACTATATAGAAAATTAAATTCACTTGGTGTTGTTCGAGTCCCAGAGTGAACATCAGCTTTGGGATGCAGGTACATCCAGCTGACGAGTCTCAAATAGGACGAAACGCGCGTTCTGGATTCCACTGCTAGCCATTATCCATCTTTGCTTATATAGAAAATTATTATACAAATATTTTACCACTACATCACTTGATAGGAATGTAAAAAAATGTCTTACATGAATAGAGATGTTCATGTAGCTTATCTATGGAAACAGTTCCGTGAGAAATGTCTTTTCAGTGAAAGTTAATATGAGCCACCTGATGTGTTTTTGATCTATAACAAGCTTGTAAGCAAAACACATAGATTGTGATAAATATGTTATTAGTATAAGGTTATAAAAGATTGTTGAGTTTCATACATATCATAAGCCGATCAGTGTTAGACCACGATTGAAAACCTAGAAGCTCTGTGTGGCCATTTTGTTTCAGTATGTGACTACTCAGCAGTGCGCATCCATGATTCTCCACGTAAGACTCGAACCACGGACCTTTGGTCTCGCAAGAACACTCAAACTTCAGACCACTGAGTCAGGATTCAACGGTGTTAGTATCTAAATTCATGATTTCACTAAAACCCACAACGCTATATTGATAATCATCATGTACTCACTAGTGACTACCTTCGATAGGTAATTCTCGAATTTCTAGTGGGAAGCCGTGATCAGTGGAGTTCAACCGTTTTGGGTATGAGACAGCTACCATCAAAGACAATGAAAGATAGCGACTCAATATCGTGGACTGAGTGAGGTTACAAATTAACATCGCTGAATTTCGGCTCAGTTGTCTAGATTTAAAGCGTTCGTGTGCTATTCAGGCGTTTTCAGATTTTCAATAGTGGCTTAACGTTCATTGGTTAATGGTCTCAACAAATATATTAGTTTTGTTGCATTCACTTTTATGCATTTTGTTACAAATCCAACTATGTACTAGCTAATTTGACTTCTATTTAACCTGTATATGGAATATATCTGCGAAATATTTCGTATAACGAGTACCATATTCATGTCTTATAATTTCATGCAGACAGTCACTTTGTGTTTACGTACATAATTTATTCAGCATATAACAAATTAAAGTAAGGTGGTCTAATAGTTTTAAAGCTTATGTACTTGGTAGGTGAAGGCAAATTGACAACATTTGTTGCATATTGTTTAAGGGAAATGTATTGAATTTTGATAATCCTACATGAATATATCATTAGGAATGAGTTAGGGTTGATTATGCGTTTGAAATAATGTTACATGGATTCTGTCGGATTCGAATCTGAACATAATATCATATACTAGACACATAATATTACATATTACATAATCCATCATTGCATGTTGATAATTTTGTAGCTTTGGACAGTGAATGTTGCTATGAAGAAATGCAAAAATGTCATTCGATTTTTCCTCAGTTACACAAATCTAAGATTGTAGTGAATAAAGTATACATCTATTTTCTCAAACCTTCAAGTTCAATAATATAGTTAGAGTAAATGAGAATCTTTGAAAAAGTCTTTATTTAGAATCATCGAGCATACTACTACCACTACTACCACTACAACTACTTCTACTACTACTACTACAGCTACTACTACTACTACTGCGCCTGTTACTCCCAATGGAGCATAGGCTGCCGACAAGCATTCCTTAACCTATTCTGTCCTGAGCGTTCCTTTCCAGTTTTATCTCATTTTTGTTCTGTCTCCGTTTCTCAGCGTAATGTGTTCATTGGTCTTCCTTCCCTCCTTTGGTCTTGAGGATTCCATGTGAGGGCTTGCCTTGTGACACAGTTGGATGCTTTCTTCAATGTGCGTCCGATCTACTTTCAGCGATTTTTCCTGATTTCCTCCTCCGCTGGGATCTGGTTTGTTCTCTCTCATAGTATATTGTTACTGATAGTAGACGACTGGTATTAAACACATGTATCTTCTGGATGATGGCTTTCGTAGTTCTCCAAGTTTCCACTTCATATAGTAGAACTGTCTTGACATTTGTATTGGTATTTCTATTGATTGACAATTGTTCTTCAATTGTAGATATACTGCTCCGCGCCTTCACATCTTCATCAGATCCACCGTATTCATCAATGATACTGCCTAGCTATGTAAATGTTTTTACATCGTTCAAAGCTTCTCCATCAACTGTGATTCGATTGGTTCATTCTATGTTATATCGGAGAATCTTGCTTTTCCCTTTGCATAACATAATATCAAATGGAATTAAGATAGATTTTACAAAATAAATTATAGTACACACTGTATATAGTAAAGTACAAAGTATAAATAAAACAATAATCGAAATTCTTGTGTTTTTTTTGTTTTCAAATGCCTCATATACTATGTGTTAGATAAAGAACAAAGTTCTAGTTTCTAATAGAGTTTTTTTCTTGGAATAAACAATTATGTATCGGATAACAGTTATTGTAAACATTGAAAACAATAATGGGCTAACTCTAAACTTAGCAAATTATCAACAAAACACTTGAAATAATAAATAATAAAAAAGATCAACCATAGATAAGACGCCTACATATATGAATTATTTTAATCATAACACTTGGAATCTTGATTATGTTTCATATTAATTGTGTCGTGTTAACCTCAATAACAGGTTATATCATTTATAATACTTAACTTATCACCATTGTTTGTAGTGTTTTTATGGCAAAGTAATGGGATTAATGTAAGTATAAACTTTGTAAGGTATTATAATCAATTATTTCCTATGTATTTAATTGTGTGTTCCGATTTGACCGTTGAAAAAGATTATAAAATTGATTGATCTGTATCGTATATTATGAGCAAATCTTTGTTATCTCAGGAAAAAAACGTTTTTAATTTTCCATTCGGATAATGACTGGGTTTTTAGAAAGGAAAGATAGTTCTAGTACTTAAATAACTTGATAAAATTATCGAATCTATAATATATGTAACTTGAGTTAGGTCGTAGAAAGTGCAAATGAAACTTTCGGAGAGATTATGCGTGCATACAAACATATATATGTGACAAATTAAAAAAAACATTGTTTACAAAGTAATGAATTATGTAAGCGAATATGGATAGTGACTAGCAGCAGAATACATGACGAGCGTTTTGTTGTATTGGGGACTCGTCAGTTGGATATAACTGTATCCATGAGTTGATGTTCACTGTTGGACTTGAACTCAGTATCATTCGCTTCAAATACCATCACATTATTCACTTAGCTGCTGAATCCTGATAGCCACTTCCTTGTGTAATGGAGTGAAGTTTAAATTCATTTGGTATTGTTTACTTGAATATTGTAATTGATCAGTCTCTTATTGGAATTGCTAGCCACTATCTATATTTGCTTATAACTCTTTTGAATCAAGGTAATATTGACGCAGTATGTACATTATGCATGTATGTCAATAAGTGAATAGTCAATTGCGGTGCCAAACATCAGTGAGAATATATAAGTAAACAATACAAGGTGAATTCAGTGTATGATATACGTGCACACATTTTGAAATTGGATGATTATTGTTCAGCTTATATAAAATAAACAAACATATATCTCACTTGAAATGGAGAAATTAATAATTGGACGGTTTCTTTTATTTAGTGTCTGAAAAAAATATCCTCTTGCTTTATAGCAGTTTCAATGTAGAAGAATACTTATTCAGCAATAGTGGAACTTTTAATTAGAAAGTCAGTGCAACTAGGCATTTTCTGTCCATAGATATTGCAAATAGTTAAAATAACCCATTGTGTCAATGAATAAAAATAAAGACTATTGAGAGAGAAAGTTTTATTTTGAACGAAATCATTTACATTTGTGCTTATTGTTGTATGGTAAATACATCTATAGAAGGATAGAAAATGTTACATCATGAAGTGATTCTAAACTCTAATTATCAAATGAGATTGCGTAATAATCAGAGGCTTAGATAAAATTTGAAGGATGAAAATGATGTACGGGTCAAAATTATGAAATATGATTGTCCTCTTGACAAATATGAAGAAAAATAAAGAAAAATCTACACGATCAAAAGAAGTGGATTAAGGGGAGAATAATTCAAAATTTTATGCACTGTTGAGGCGTTGGCAATCTGCCAATTTAAGACCGAGCTCTGATTGCAAGTACTATATGAATGACCTCTCATCTATGGCCCTAATTCCCTTCAGTAGTATTTTTTGTTATTATTATTTTATAATTTTAATCCCTTATCATTTATCATCATTCTTTGACAATTTTTCGTGATTGTTATTATTGTGACCCTTACGTATTTTTTTTTGCTTTTCTTCATATCTGAATGGGGATTTATGGAGATTGTGGTAATTTTAATAGATGAATTCATGAGTACAGCTTTTCAATGGTAGTCTAGCTTAGATCAACTCATGAATTTAACTACCAAAATTTTTCTCAGATTTTACGAGCGAACAGTCATCTTTCATAATTTTAATCCTTCCATTCTTATCTAACCACCTGATTATTACAAAAACTCATTTGATAATTGGAGTCTCAGATCACTGCATGATAGGAAGCTTATATATATGTGGAATTAAGTGGGATTTTTTGCATAAATGGTTTCAAATATCATAAAATTACGATCTATTAGAAACTATGCCATGCCGTTTATTAAAATCTTCTGGATTATTTATACAAAATTCAATGATGTTTCAATTCCTGTTATGTATTTCTTGTCTAGGCCAAATCATCTTTGAAAATAGATGCTAACGAAATAGGTAAGCTAAAATTTTGTCATTTGTAACAAAACAATATGTTTATCGTTAGATTGTGATATATGTATGGGTGTAGTATCTCTTGGAAAATTGTTTCTTGTGTCACCAATCATGGATAGTATAAAGAAAATGCTTATAGAAAAATTTTGTTCATTACCCGGGATTATGACAAGAAGAGTAAGTTAAAATTAGTTTAATTCTATACACATCTCGTTTCTAATCACCCTTGTCGAGTTTTGTTTGATAATGTCAATGTTATAACTTGTGATCTGTGTGCCCTGTTAATGTATACGTAATGATACCGCCAATTAGAAAAAAGTGAGTTATCGATCGGACCAGGAACGCGTAAAACCCATACGAGCAGTCTAAAGTACTTATTGGTCCCGCTTCCTGTATAGCCCAGTCAGTTATGTCCAGAACACCAATCTCATTCTCTGCGATATGAGTCGTTTATTTCAAACATACTGGGTTTACATACCAACCAAACAAACCACATGGTAGCAATAAAATAGGAAACAACATTTATACAAGATTTAGCCAAAAGTGGCTGGAATGTGAGATGTAGTGATTGATAGAATAGGTATAAATGAAGAATGGTAAATCGTATAATAATAGTTCATAGGTCGAAATAAAGCTCATAATAAGAGGGACATGAATATATATAGTTTATTTATGTAGCAGTTATACGATAAAAACATACATTTGGTATTGGTCCACAAATGGGTCCCAAAAGTTACCATTCAATATGCATATCGGGACATAACAGCCAATAAATGTAAAGTTTCGTTTGAACGAGGAAATTTGCATAAAGATTAGGAATCCATTAAATAAATGGCTTAACAACACGGAGTTGAAAACAAATATATTCAAAGATTGAAAAACATAAGAAACTAACATTTTTATGCTTAGTTTAATTGTATGACAAAAAAGGGGGAGGAAATCCTTGGTATCTTGCTATATTTTATAAAATATACCTGTTTTTATAAGTAAACAGTAATAGGACAAAATATTAGCTTGATCCCTTTCTAAAACAATGATGTTTCAGACAACTAATTTTATTAGAAAAAATATAAGATTGGGAGAAAATATCAACTGTTTTCATAATATTTACCAGCTCATATTCATTATTTGTAAACATATTTAATAATTTCTCTTGTATTCTGATATTTCTAGTGTATTCATTGGGGATATCATCAAGCAGACGAAATAGTCTTTCATTTCATAAAACAAAGTTCATCGAAACCATGCAAGGTAAGTTCTGTTTATTGATGATGAAATTAATCTCCTTCATAATTCTATAGAAAAGTATGAATAATTCATAAAATCAGATCATAAATTTGTACAGAATAATTTATATATGTCGGTTAAAGAACCAACGAAAGCCACTAAACTTTATCAGATTTTTTGGCTCTCGTACATTATTTGAATGTATATTCCTTAACCTTTCAAAATAATTGTCCTTTAATAGACTATCTGCATATAAATAGAATTTATTTTCGTTTCACCAGTGTTGTCAACTGAATATATTCACAGAATACAGAATATATAACTTTATTTGCTGAACTAAATTTTATGAAAGCATTTTATTGATATCAAAAACTGTAAAATCATAAACTGAAGCTTGTGGGTACTTAAACTAATTATACACAATGTTCACAAATCCAAACGAATGTACCTCTTTCAATGAAACCAAAAACCCTATATAATAAAATCATGTGACTATTTCTTAGGAAGCTTAGAAATGACAAGTAAATAATAAATTCGTACAAGTCAAGACCAGTTTTGTGAAAATTATGATGACAAGCTTTCTCCTAATAATTTTATAAATATCACATCTTACTGTACCTAATACAAAGACTATTATCTGTTCCTATTTATTTCTCTCCTAATAAAATGAGTTTGAAAAAATTTAATTTCAACAACCAGTATAGGATTGTGGAGATTGTTGAATTTAGATCGATATCGTGAATGAATCACTGTTAGACTACCACTAGAAATTTCATCGTATTTGGTTAAGCATTCGCACGCGAGACCGAAGGTCTTGGGTTCGAGTCTCGAGTGCAGGATTGTGGATGCGCACTGTCCTATGCTAGGACGAGAAGATCGTCCAGTGCTTCCAAGTTTTCAGTGGTGGTTTAACATTGATCCATTCATGATATCAATATAATTTCAAGTTATGTGGATTTTCATTTTATTTTTATTTCCAACTACAGTATCTTTCACTATGTTCAAGGAATATTTCTCAAAGTTTAACGGGTGGAGTACAAGTAAGTGAATAGTTACTATTATTTTCTTAGTGTAAAAGAATTACAAAATCATTTATACAAATTTATTACTAAAAGACTTACCCTTTTTGCACATCAATTCATACATGTCGTTAGACTATTGTTGGAATTAATACTCATTACTTTCTTAATATTATATTTTGGTAAATTAATGTTTTCTTGATGTATATGTATTTTATCTACCAAATGTGTCAAAATTAAGACATTTATATTTCCAATTAAATACTGTTAGAAAGAAATCATTCAGAGTTAGTTACTAAAAAGTATAATTTTGGTGTGTGCTACTGATGTCGACAGATATAAATAGTATGTATCATCAACCGAAAGTGAAATGCTTAACGGCAGTAGGTTAAGAGGATCGAAGAAAATAGAACAGGTACAGGGAATGATTGGTATAGAAACGAAGAGACAGTCAAGTCTGAGGTAATTAATGGATAATTTGCAGTTTAAGTATTTACTGTATGGTTCTCAGATTTGATTAAGATGTTCTGTTACTCTTTTTTAAAATATATTTGGTTGTCCCCACCGATTGTCTTGTTCACTACATAATCAACATACAATCGTATAATTCACGAAAGAAATTAATATGATGAGTACATTTAATAAACTTACCTATACATATTAAAAAGATAGACTAGCTTGAAATTTAATAGAAACAATTGTTTTTACTAACAAATATATTTTTGTTATATCTCAATGAGTAGAAAAATTATATTTATGACGTTTCGTGACACAATGTATGTCACTTCTTCAGAGTAAATAACTTTTTAAATATTTTTTTATTTATTCTGAAGAAGTTGCTTATATTAAGTCACGAAACGTCAGAACTACAATTTTTCCACTCATTGAGATATAACAAAAATATATTTATTAGTTAATAACTCTCTATCCAATGTCCAACTTATTTGAAACTATCAAGTCCAACCTTATTATTGATACTTACAAACTATTTTTACGTAAAACGTTGTTTACGTTACCTGTTTGTAATAAAATTAAAAGTAAGGAAATTTTACAACGATTTCACTTTCTTAGTCACTTCTAAATGTATACCAGCTTAGGTAAAATGATTAATATTTCTCATTTTATAGTGAAAACTTACTGGCTTATGTGAACAAATATACATTATAGCTACAATTCGGTTAATTTGAAAAAAAAACATTATTAGAGAATGAAAAGAAATGATCTCTCACCAAAGTTAATATCTCCCACATTGTATAAACATTCTATGTACCTAAATTGCTCTAGTTGTCAGAAGGGGTATCATCCTCGTGACTTCCGAAGAAACTCGGCTTTCATCACGAGACGTCATAACTCTTCTAAATGAAGACTTTGTAACTCTCAGGGTAGAGCTTAAATGCTTTGAATAATATTTTCTGGTCATCGTTTTTTTGAACGAGTTAGTTTTCTACGGTATGGGGTTACTAACTTCATGCCAATCCTCCTGCTTTATCCGGGCTTGGGATCGGCAGTAGCTCCAAAAGAGCTCCAAGCGGAGTTACTAAACTTAAAAATTGTTTTAAAATTACAACTATGCTAATATCCCTGAATCTGGCTTGCCAAAACACTGCAATTGTTCACTTCCTGGTTCTAATTTGTAACTAATTTTAAGTCTTATGAAACTATACATAATTGATTTTTGTATTTATTTATTTTGTATAAATATATCGTTCAATCACTATCAAACAACCTCATTGACTTTGTTTTATAAACTTTATAAAATTATCCATTTAAATTGTGTTTGACATTCTCCTGTAAAAATAGAAGCCATGACCATCGAAGTTCAACCAGGTCTGTTGTGAGATAGTAACTCACTGAAGGCAATGGTGGATGTGTCGCTCAATTTTGTGGATTAGTTGAACTTAGACATTAACACCGTTGGATGCCAGTCGGCTCAGTGAGCTAATGTTTAAGCGTTCGTGCGCGAGTCTGATAGGTCCTGGGTTCAAATCTTGAAACGCGAGATCGATGATACACACTGCTGTGAAGTCCCATACTGGGACGAAACGGCTGTCCAGTGCTTCCAGGTTTTCCATAGTGGTCTAGCTTCAATTGACTCATGAATTCAACTATTAAATTACTAACAATATCCACTAAACTCCACACTGATTAAAAATAGAACCATTAAACTAGTCTACATTTAACAATGTAATACATTCATTGATTAAAATTCAACAGAATGAATTTAGCTGTTCATTTTTATGATCAGTCTTGAGTGCTGTTAGAGGTATGAGGGAGGTTATCACTTCCCGGTTGCACACACCGTGGAAGGGTACTTTTGGAGGTGTTTGAAAAGAAATTGGATTAGAGGTGGTCTTGGTAACCTGAGAGCGTGACCTCAGTGACCAAGGGACAACTGCTTCAGGTCGATCACACATGATCTTTTAGTGAGTAATTTCCGCGTTAGCTCAGTACTTGTCGAGACCTTACCGCCAGAGACATATATCCGTGGGATAAGGCGAGGTGTGCATTTTTAAAGTCGAACTTTTCTAACCCCATCCCTCCTTGTGGGAAGGCAGCATCGATGTCATGCTCCTTGTCTAAAAGAAACACCTTACTGATGTCACAACTCTGTACAGTCAGCATTACGACCGCCTTCGGACTTTGTGTTTGTTGCTTTTAGTCTTACCGCTCTTCAACCTTGAGGAACGGTTGTTCCAGCCAGTGTAGCTCGGTTGCTTCATCACGATAGGCAAGCCCGACCACCACGTCAATGTGGCAACAACGGTCAGGATAAGTCCTTGTAATTAATATTTTATACAATAGAAACCTTAGACAACAATAATAACATTATACGTTAACATTGTTTACTAATATAAAAAAAAACTTTAAAAATACAGCCTAGTAGGGGCAGGAATTGATTAGTTTTATGGAGAAAAGGAGAACACTTAGATAACTATGTTTTATCGAGTGTGCTCAGAGTGAGCTTAGTGAAAGTAAAATTCATAATATAATTTTTTGTTCAATTTCATACGACTTTTTTTCTTTACCACTTTTCTTTGTTCTAAATATTCTTTTTCAGAGGGATGAATTTCAGTTCAATCATTTTCAGTAAATAATATAATATTAAGAAAATGGAAATTCTTATCACACAACTATTTTTTAACTGAGATGTTAATATTACTGTACATGATCAAATGTTGATATAGCACAAAAATAAGCCTATTTATTTGTCATTATGGGAATTAGTGGAGATTGTAGTATTTTTACAGTTGAATCAATGAGTTTTAGTGAGAAGCCGTGATCACTGGAGTCTAGTTCGTGTCGAGTGTGAGATAGTTATCTACTTCAGACAATGGATGAAGGGTTGCGTGAGATCGCGGATCAATTGGAGCTAAACATCAATACCGCTGGATACTGGCTCAGGGGTCTAGAAGTTAAGTGTTTTGCTTATGAGATCGAAAGTTTTAGGTTTGAGTCCCGTGTGTGGGATCGTGGATGTACATTGCTGAGGAGTCCCACGATGGGACGAAAAGGTCGTTCAGTGCTTCCACGTTTTCAATGGTCGTCTAACCTAGAACTATTTATTTGTATTTATTTATGTTTGAATGATTGAAATGAGGCAAGTAGATGAAATAACAAGTTATAGTCTGTCAGATGGTCAGTAGGTTGTGAGCAGTAATTACAACAGTACATTTGTTGACAGTTAATAATCATTAACACGTGAAAGTTAAACAGTAAGAACAAGAAAACAAACTAGATAACCGATTCGTTACATTAAAAAAAGAGCGGCTACGCATTGAAATACACCAACCGTAAAAGTGATCGAATGTAGCCCTCAGTGGTGATTATCGTAAAATTTCAAAGTACAACACGAAAACCCCCAAGCAATGTAAGTAATTAGGCAGGTTCCATAGAGATAAATATCATACTCTGTTTCTAACCAGCTCAAACATATTAAGAAACCGGATGATAAGTAAGACAAAACAAGGCAAAATCTCCCGAATTTTCTTTTCAATTCGTGACAACAATAGCTTGAGGTCATGGAATAATGTAACACTCTTTTATTTGTAGATGACACTTTGTCTGCATTGGGCGAATTTCAGTGGATATATTAAAAAAAACAGCGTAAATCCATAGTTTTTGTAACGAGTTTGCTAACATATTTATTCTCATTACTATAAAATGTCATACATATAAATCAAGATGGACCAAATTCAAAAGATAAAATAAATCCATCCTACTTCAAGGCTTCTCGTCAGCTGCAAACAATCATTTGTTAAAGAGTAATGTGATTGGAAATGCTGGTTTCAAAAACTTAGTGAGATCATGTTAGAAGCTTAAATAATGATGTCAGGCAGAAATTTTGTTGCTTTGTGATCTGATTCTAGACCAGAAGGTTGCCTGTTCGAATCACATCAGACTCATCACTTTGGTGGCTTGTATTCTGAGTACCTGTTTAAACGAATGAGTGAGTATACCATGAACATATATCTTCCGTTTAACTCCGCATATTACACCTAGTATAATCTCGTTTGAGTGACAATGGTAATAAGAAACCAAATACGGATTAAGTTGGATAGATTTATTTCATAATCTAGTTTACGTAAACACACATTAAGAGGAGAAGCGAAGCGGAGAAGCCAAGCATCCTAACTCATTCGTCCATTCAAATAGGGAGTGCAATCATGGGCCGTCAAAAAACGAAGTGAGATGTTTAAAATAGTTAAAACATGACACTATGTGTCTAGAAAAGATAATCAAGGTTGTTGAAGTTCATAATTGTATTGGTAAGACTGCCTAATCAAAAGAATAAATATAAACATGTAAAAGAATAAAAACCATATTATCGTATTGGATACCAATAAGATTATATAACATCAAATTATTTAATCACAATTACACTTATCATAACAAAGGGAGACCTATCATTATTACATACAAAGCACATAGGTCGGACGACGAGTGTTTGACCTAAACGGATTCTGTAAAGCGGGTTAATAGTAACTTTGTTGGTCGTTGATTATTCTGAATGATAAAAGTATATCCATATTTGTAAGCAATATCTTTAAAGTGCTTGATGAATGCAATTGTAATAGCACTACTCCCTCTTAAACACATAATTCTGGGAATGTATCTGAAAACGCAGTTAGTAAATTGAACTTTGCTTCTAATCAGCTTACTACTTTAAGTTGATCAAGTAACCAAATGTAAGAAGTCGAAATTTATTAATTCGAAATGAGCTAAGTAATCCATAAAGCTTTATCTATACAGATTTAATTTTACAGCAGTTCATAGTGGTGGGGACGTAGTTTATATTTATACAAGCATTCAAGCCTTTTCATCACAAGTAATACTGATCACTTGAATAGTTTCCAGTTTGTCTGCTAACACCATGTGAAATGTGTCTATATAAATAAAATGGAGATAATAAATGTCAAAAATACTTTACGATACTTCTGAATATGTACGTCATATAAATTGAGAATTAAATAACATTACTAATCAATTGTAAAGTTTGGTTTAACATAAATAAACGTTTTATTTGTTTACTGATTAGTCTTTGATGTTTCTTACCTAGTTTTCTTTGAATCATACTTATCAGGGTAGTTATCACTATTTCTGTGGACAAATTTATTTGATAGGTATATATGTAGTGTACAATGAATTCATCCGTTTTTGTTACACTAAATAAGAGTTCTGAGACTAACAGTTCTGTATATAAAACTCAGACAAAATTGCTAGTATAAATACTAGAATATGATGAGAGCTTCCATGTATTTCGACTTCTTTTAAAATGAAATAATTGTACTATAAATAGAGTTTTAGAGTTTCTCCATCAAACAAGTATCTAAAGAAATACATGAAATCACATATAACTGTCAAGTGAAATAATTCACACTTCACATAGTTGACTGCTCCCAAATGCCTTGGTATGTCCGAGGGCGAGAAGAGTCCATTCTCCTTCTTGAAATGTTTTCACATGTCCACGTGTATACAGCCATTGTCAGGGAAGTCCTACCCACTACCTTTCGCGACAAGTGTGTTGTTTACGAAATTAAGAGGACAAAAAGTAAATGTCCGGTGCTTTTACTGGCTTGGTGGGTATGAAGAATCCACCCATGGGACTTGGAATACCTTGATTCCAAACGAATAGTGCAGATGCGCCCCAGGGTCCTGAGGAGATAAATGACGTATAATCTATTGTTGGTCACCGACTAGCATGGGACCGTATCTCCTAACGTTACTCCACTGTCTTATAGATTGCACCTTTACGTTAAAGGCTTGGGTTTAGTCCCCTAAGAGAACTACCTGCTTTAGTTTGCGCACCGGGAAATATAAATGACTTCACACAAATCAATGATAACTACTACTGGCCTCATTGTTACTGTGTGGCGCATATGTATTTGATGCCTCCTCGAACCAATGTTTAAGTGTTCAAATAAAAAAAATTAATAAATAGCTGACTTCATTAGTTAAGTTACAAACAAAAAAAAATCTTTAAACTTTTAATGACCCTCTCTGACTCCAGTTAGATTGCATGTTGATTGAGTGAATAAATTGGTTAGGTCAAATGCTAGAATAGCCTATATGATCTTGATACAGTACTAACCACTACAAATTAACCTGGTAACATATTAAATAAGTTTGAGAGATCAATCATTCATTATGGGAAATAAATATGATTTTACTTTTCAATGAACAAAATGAACATTTCTTAAATCTGTAGTAACGTTACTTTAAGAATACATTGATCTTATTTTAATGTATAGTTGATATAAATGACCAATTATATTAACTTCAATTTGGTAGTAATCTATAAAGATGATAACTAGAAAACTATATAACTTTATATTTATGTAGTTTATACTATTTAGACCTTTGATATCAGAATTATATTCAGGAATATACATAAAGTTGTTATATGGCCAATGCATTCATGAACGTTGTACTCGGCAATCTTAATAAAGGCCTAAAGCTACTCAAAATAACCAGACTGTGATCATACTTTTTAAGCAAACTGAATATTTCTAATGTAATAAACAATAATATTATACTACACTAATATTTATTTCAGTCAAGATGTTTACAAAGATGTTTACAAAGCAACTATATGCTTCCAGGTTTTCCATGGTGGTCTAGCTTCAATTGACTTATGATTTCAACTATTGAAATTACTAAAATCTCCACAAAAACCCCTTCTGAAAATAGAAATCTAATTTATAGTTGATATTTATCATTAAATTTTAGAGTTTATATTAGATTTATTTTACGAAAAGGTAAAATATTTATTACTGATAATATTTTATAATCTCTAGAGTGTCCACTTAATTACCAGGACCAAATGAGGGTTATAAACCTGTGTGAGGAATTATAATTATAATTTAGAGTTGATGATTAAGATTAGAAATCAGATTTAGGGTTTTTATCACGAACTGACATCAGACATAATGCCAAAACTCTAAATGTCCAAATGGATGAATGAATTTCGTGTCAAAATCCGAGACCTGTTATCTTATACCTGATTGGTTCATCCATAAATTATGGTCTCACCATATCCTTTTTTCACTTAGTATCTTCCCATTGATGTTTAGGAATGCAATTAATTAATCTCTTGTTAGCATATGTACATACTGTGTGGAGTGCCTCAATATTGCCTTAATTCACAAGCACTATAAGCGAAGATGGATAGTCAATAGCAGTGGAATCCAGGACACGCGTTTCGTCGTATATATATGTATATGTAGTGTGGGCCATTCAGTAACAAATGTTTCCAGATGTGATTTATTAAACCTCGTCCCAAATGTTCAAAGGCTAGAAAAGGAATAACATAAACTATTTATGATAGTATTTCCTGTTTGAATAGTTAGATATTAAGCTCATGAATGATTATAAGCTTTCCATACAAGTATATTATGAAATTACATGTAGACTTTTCTTATAGCATATAAATGCATATAAATATTACCGTATATCGAAGTAAAGCCTGCTGAGGCTCTAATCGAAAATAATATTGTTCTCTTAAATAAATCCATGTCAGTCAAATGTACTGGAATATTCACTGAGAGAAGAGTACAGGTTCGCATTTCTGAGCATATTCCGAAGAACTTGACG